AGTGTAGGAATATTATACACTTTTATCGGTATATCAATCAGAACAAGGTGTCCCCCTAAGCATACAACTTGATTGAGTCTTAAAATTTAAATTGTCACCATATATCTTAACAAGTACCCATACTTCAAGGATTAAATAACCTCACGGCTTCATTAAAAATAGGGTAACAAAAAAGATTGTAATTAAAACCTTGAAGTCCAAATAGTTTTTATCAATTCCCACACAACAGAGAAAATAACGCCATATTTTCAATTATATTATGAATTCCTGGTTTAATGTAATTTATGGTGTTCCACACACACATATATATCGCATTCAAGTTAGTATGATTAATATAATTTCATGATGTATGAAGTAGTATCAATATAAAAAAAGTTAAAAGATAATCATTGTCCACTGCAAGGTAATTTGTAAAAGTTAATAAAAGTGGCGCGTCTTAAAATCTAGAACTTTTATATGTTATTCTGAAAAACTAGGAAAAATCACAATAAAATGATACTTTAATTTGGAGCTTCAAATAGCCGTCTCAATAAGAGATATTTCATTTTAGAATTTAAAATTTGCTGAAATAACCATATTACCCTTATGTCATTTGTGTTTATTCAATGAAAATATTTTGAAAATAGAATATTATTTGCCTTACCAAACTTGTTAATATTGTTATTGCATAATTTGTTAATTAAGTTATTGGAGTTAAAAATTCTCAATATATTAGGTACTGAGAAATTTTTTAGAATCAAAATATCTCTGAAATCATAGGGTAAATAGTGTTATTAGAGTTGCTAATATCTTTATAAAAATTGTTAATTATATTGCTGAAGTTGAAAAAAATCCTAGCTTTACAATTTTTCAAAAAACAAATTGCTCATTATATTACCAAACTTGTAAATACCGTGTCATGATTTGTCAGCTATGTTACAAAAAATGAAAAATTCTCAATTTATTAGACACTCAGAAATCGTTTAAAGTCTTTACCTCTCGAATCACATGATGAGTGGCATTATTAGAGCTGTTAAAATGTTATAAGAGTTGTTAACCATGTTGTTAAGGTTAGATATAACTTGTTCTATGCAAGTTATGATAGGATTCTCTAATTATATAATTAAATGTATAGATGATTTTTTGGCTTTCACTTGAATATTAGAGTTTTTAAGAGATTAGTGGGTACATAGTAAATATAGGTTTGTATTTTGTTAAAGACTTTGATTCTAAATTTGATTTCTCATTTTCTTTATTGTTTTATCTTTTTTATATTAATAACAGAACTATTGAAAATATATTATATGCCTATATTTGCAAGTTTTGAGATTAATTTAATTATATAATTACATGAAAATATAAAAATAAATAGAATTTAGTCTATAAAAATTTGTAATTTAATTTGAAAATTTTAAAATATATATGTAAAACTGTGAAAAAAAAGGGATGGGATTGACATGGACGTGAGTTGGCTAAATGTCAATCTACCAAGAGACAGTTCGTATGGACTCTGACCCGCAACGGGCTGGCCTATAACTGATGGACTAACTCACATTATCAGCTCTATATTTGTTTCTGCGAAATGGCCAACTTGTTCAATCATAACAGTTGCAGTGGCAAGGAACTGAATTCGAACTCTTCAAGTCTGAAAGTGAGGAGTGAGGACATTGAGGACTGGAGAGCAAAGAGAGGAGAAGGAAAGGAGGAGGGCAAGAAAGAAGAAAATGATGGTCACTTTAAATCCAAACGAGGGAAAGAGGAATGGCGTTCATATTTACGAGTTATAGATGGCAAAGAAAGAGAAAAATTGAAGGGTAAAAAAGGCCAGTATGCCAGTCGGAAGTGAAGATACCAACGAGGAGCAAAGACAGACAGAAGAAGAGGATGAGAACCGGGGGGGGTGGAAACAAAGGAGAATTACAATAAGATTCAAAAAAAATAATTACAAAAAAAATTTCAGAAGTTATGATTTCTTATTCTGAAACTTATTACTCCTCCGATCCTAAATGTAAGACCCTTATATTAGAGTGTATAAAGGTCTTACATTTAGGACCGGAGGAGTATTATGAGTTTAGATTATTATTAAAATTTTTTAATAATTATTTTTTTTAGACCTCATTATAATTCTCTCGAAAATTAATCCAAACCATCTCGTTTGGCGGGATGAACTGTAGGCGCTCATATCTGCTGAGCATGTAATGTGGACTCCCATATGGAAGCCTTGTCTCTGGCCACTTTGAAGTTTGAAGGCAAAAGAGGCCAAGGGCAAAAAAAGAAAAAAGAAGGCAAAAAAGACAAAACCATCGCACTGCACATATTTTTCCAATGGGAATTTGTGTCTCACAGATCTCTCTCACATAGTCAGAAAAAGAAGAAAAAATGATCATTGCATTAATTAATATCTCCTTAATAATTCAGAGAAGTACGAGAGGCCCAGATTCGATGCGGAAAGAGATAAGGCAATGTTTTTTTTTTATACAAGATAAGTTATTGATTTTCTGCTTATTTGGGATCATTTATATATAAATACTTATAAATACATTTTATATAAGTTGAGATAAATTTCTTCTTACATACTTACATCTTATTCAAATATTGTTATTTGTCATTTTCCTTTTTCCTTATCTCTTCGTATACACACGCATACACGCACCTTTCTAGTGTGGTTTGTCTTCCATAATATTGTCACCTTAGAAACCTTCATGCCTATTTACATATCGTTAGTGGTGAATGGTGAAATGATGCTGTAAGTATTGGTTTCTACCATGAGAGGAGGTGCAATTTATCATAACGATGGAATCAATTGAAAGCCCCACTGGAGCTTTTAAGATTGTGAGAAACTAGTCGTTAGTATGATGGATTTTAATTATAGTATTCTAATAAATAATTTTGACTGGTTTGGGTGATTTTTTTTTCTGTTTACAATATATTAGTAAAAAAGCCAGCTAAGCGTGACTCTGTATTGAATTACGCTTTTAATTTATGGGTACATGTATTTGGACTGATCAAAATAACAGGTGATTGATTAAATTTTTATTATAACTTTTAAATATTTTATTTTATTTCAGATTTAGCAAGTATCGTTATCAATTTTTTTTTTAATTAAAAGATGATCAAACGCGAGAAAGGGGCTGGACAGCTAAACTTTGCCATTCCAATTTTGTCATTTCGTGTCGAAGGATATTTGCTATTATCTTGATTGTTGATTACATTCTTTTTCTGACCAAAAGATTGTCAATTACATTTCACGAATTAATCATATGGCTCAAGTCATCAACATAAAATTGGCAGCTGCCTTTCCTTTTATTGGCCAGTTCTATATATGTATAAAATTTGTAAAATTATTTTTTGGTTTATAAATATTTATCAGATTCTTTTTACTGAAAAAAAAATTAATGGGAATTTTTTTAATTTTTCTTATTAAATAACCAATAACCAATAACCAATAACCAATTTTATTGATTAAAACAAAAAGAGATAGAAGGTACAAAATAAGATTTTAAAAAAAAATGTGAAAAGATTGCCTAGGGCTAGGGGAAAGAAAAAGGTGGATGCTTAAAAAAAAAAAAAAAGAAGAACACATATTCAAATTTCAAAAAATATAATTTAAGAATACTCTGAGTTATAAAAAGAAAAAAGAAAAAAAAATTGATGGCCAACAATCTCATACGACTCCTCCTTATAAAATAGGTTGTGAGGTCTAAGTAAACAAAAATGAGAAATATAAATTGAAAACTTTAAATTTACGTTATCTAAATTAGATTTAAGCAATAAAGACCTTCCTGTGCTCATAGCTCCCAAAAATAAAAGAAAATAAAAAATAAAAATAAATGAATAAACAAGAAAAAGAATTTGGCATTAGCGTGGAAAGTAGAAACGCAAAGCTTTTCATAAATTGGTAACATTGACTTCACTCCAATCAACTTTTTTTTTGTTTTTGCCATCCACTCCAATCAACATCGATCTACTTATATACAATATAAAATGTCTAACAACCATACTAAAACTACTTCATGCCAATAATTAAATTGGTGCCCTTTGTTGCCTAGTAAAAATTGAAAAAAGAATTATCATATACATGACGTCTATATTGGGCCAAATTATATGCAGCATGCTTTCTCGTCCCATGATAAGTGATGTTTTTGTTGGTGAGATGGATAATTAATTTATATACATATATATTAAAAATCAATTAAGTTTGTTATTTATGATGAATATATGTTAGTTTTTCTAAAATAACATTTTGTTACGAATATAATAATATCTTTGTGGATATCCATATATCTCCTATTATTTCCTATTATCTTTATATCCTACAATTATCTCTTATTATTATGCAATCTGTAGATTTAATTACAGAGCATGTATCATGTATTTAGTATCTTAAATATAATAAGAAATACTTTGTTTTATTGATCTTCTCTAATTCTCTATTCTTCTTCTCTACTCTTTCTTTTGGTTTTATGACACATTTATACTTACATGTAGCACCTCTTGATGGAAACCTTCTTATTATGTGCAATTAATAAAAATATTTTAAAAAATTTATAAATTTGAAAGATAGAATATATTAAGTTTTTATATTTAGGATTTAAAAAAACCCTTGTTTAGCTCCTGTATCTAGGATTCAAGATGATACTACTCACTTACAGTTTGCTAGCTTCCTTTTTTTGGTGAACAGTTTGCTAGCTTTCTTAACTCCTTTTTAGTGTAACAGTTACTTACAAAACATAATTTAGTTTCTTCGCGTGTAATGTGAAAAATCTTCAGATCTTTCATGTAAAGCAAAATGGCGAAGCATAAGATATACTAATTTGTAATGGATGATAGATTCAAATTATTAAGAGGAGATCAAAGCAAAAGGAAACAAATCTAAAAAGAAATTTAAAAAAAAAGCTAGATATTCATCTTATCTACCTCAAAGATGATAAATTTAAGAAGAACAGTTCCCATGACAAAGAAAGAAAGAGAAGAGAGTTGCGAAGGGACGCAGATATGATATCGAGAGGAAGAGATAGTCATCAAGAGCAACAAGGTTTCTCTTTAGAATAAAATATATTGCCTTAACACAAAAGCATTGCAAGATCATGAAAATCCAAATGCATGACTGTCTCCACCACAACATTATTCATGCAACCATTTGTCCCTTTGGGCTTCCTTCAATTCATGATTCTTTTGCCAACATCTTCATCATACACCAAATAGATTATTGTCTTCTTTATATCAAACTTGTGTGCAAAAGTTACTTTAAACTCCACTTCATTCTCAGGCTCCAAATTAGGAATTATGCTACCCAATTCTTCGTCAGCAGAGGCAATTACTGTATCTAGCTTGTAGAATTCAATAGTAACTTTTGTGTGATTTGATACCAAGACACTGACAGGATATGCAGATGCCATGTTGTCCTCATGAGAAATATAGACAATGTATAGGATTAATCCTTTCAAGTTTCTAGAAGGAACTTGAGGAACCTTGAATAATATTGAGGATCCTTCACCATTGAAGTTTAGCCATTTAGGATAATTGTCTCCAGGAAGAGAACTGTCTCCAAATTCGCTCAATCCCTAACTCATCAATACGACACATTTCAAAGAGGAAATGAATTTAGCATGAGAATGAGGGTTTTGATATTTGATCAAATCACCAGATGTAAACCCACATAACTAATGCAGAGGTTAAAATTAATTGCACTTTCAAAACTACAAAGCCTATTTAGGATTTATTTGAAATGGTTTATAAGTAGTTTTTTAATAGTAATTTACCGAATACGAGGTAAGTATACGAGGAAAATTTTGTTTTGATTTATGTAAAAGTGCTTATAAACAGTTAAAAAAACATAAATACAAACACACCCTTACTTAGGACCCAAATATGTATGTCTGATATAACTAAATTGCACTAGAATTTATTACTAAATCAACATTCTTGTTTTGGATTTATGTCAAAATGAAATCAAAGTAAAAAGTACCATAAAATTTAAAAATGTGAATCATACAATAAAGGCATTACCAGCGATGCATCATATTCACTAATAATATCCTTTGAGTCAAGCATGAAACAATTATAAACTATTCATATCCTTTTCAAGTATATATATGTGCATGGGAAAATGCATGATTCAATAATTTTACACTTGTATATATGCTTCTACATCTGTTTTTGCACAAACTAGCTAGGTGCAACGCCTGAGAACCTTAGATATACTATTGACATATACGAAGTTGGAATAGCGAGTTGAAGGAAAAAGAAAATGGATGAGACATCTTACTGAAGGTAACCAAATTAAAACGATCATGAGTATTTTTGACATTTGAAATCAGTCCAACTAAAATGTAAATGATTTCACATTAAAATGTTAAAAATATTCGTTATGTATAAATATGTAAGAAAATAAGTGCTCAAATCATATTGAGGTAAATTATATGAACGAGGGGAAGAAAGGTTTAGAGAAGAACCTGTGAGATATGCTTCAAAAGTGTATCTATGTCCTTGTTGAACTCTCCTACACGAATAATTAGAGAACTCATGAAATTTTCCAACCTTGGCATGAGAACTTGCTCATGAAAGTCGACTGTTGCTGGAGTCTTTTTGCATGAAACTTGAGATTTACTGGAGCTTGATCTCATCATTGCACTACTTTTGGCAAATAAACTACGTGAAAGACCTTGGAATAAATATGGTATGCTCCAAATCAAGGACTTTGGAATACTTTTTGGTGACATCCAAGACCAAATGAGAGGTGGAAATACATTATGAGATAGTCCTTCATAGCCGCAAAGAGACACATATTTAATGCTTTTTGATCTCATCAATGAAAAAGGAACTTGTGTTATTGCAGTTTGATTTGCCATTAGAGTAGTCAAAGATTCCATTTGCTCAATATCTTCTTCCAACTTATCAATTTTTGAGCAACCATCGATATTGAAAGTTTTTAAATTCTTCAAATTGTAGATACTCCTTGGGAGATGGATGAGCCGTTCACAATCCCTTAGATTTAACAAGATAAGATATTTAAGACATCCAATGGATGAGTGAACAACAGATAAACTCTTGCAATCTTCAAGTATCAACTCTTCAAGATTTGGCAGCTTTGAAAAGTCGGGCGTTTGCTCCAAATAACAAGAATGACTAAGATTAAGAATTTTCATCCTCTCCAACATCTGTGAAATGAAAAATTTTATATGAAAACTTCAATATCAAATGGAAAGAATGAAAAAGGTAGAAACAATACGCATTATTGCTAATCCTAAACAACGAGAATAAATGAAGTACCTGGCTATCCTTCCATACTTGTATGAGACCACTGTATTTTAAGTCAACAGCAATTAAATTTTCCTGACAGAAGTTCTCTGGCATGTAACTTAAAGGAAACCCATGCCAACGTAGCCATCGCAAGTCTTTTGAAAGATACTCATGGTCCCCAAGAAGTCTTACATGATTAAGTTGAAGCAACTGAAGTCTCTTCATCTCCTTGAATGCTTTAGTGTTGAAGGATAAGGTATTGTTTCTTGATAAGTTCAAAGCCAGCCCCTTAACGCTTTTAGTTCCCTGCAAAATAGTGAATAAAAGAGAATCAACTTTTAATATTTAAGTAGTAAATAGAAGAGGTGGGCATTTTCAGATTGGGAGAATAAAGGAAAAGGAGTAAATTAAATCTAAATTTCACCTTAGGAATTTTGATTGAGAAATAATCGGCATAAAAAAAATTTAACTAGATCAAAGTTGAAAGGGAATTTTTTTTCACTTTCCTTTTTCTTTATTCTTCTCAAGACAAATATAGTCACTTGACTTAGTGCACTCAATTCATTAAGAAAAGATCTTACCATATTATTTTTCAACACATAGAGGACCTCATCATAAAACCACAATCTGCTACGTTCTTCAGGTTTTGGTGATGTCTCACGAATGATCTCTCTTCCCATATCACATAATAAACTATGCATACCAAGCTTGTTATTCTTATAAACTCTTATAAGACTTTGCTCTATAAGTCGTGTAATTCCAATTTCTGCATGAAGTCCACACCCATTTAAAATTTGTGTAACATAACTTCTATCTTCACCAATAAAGAAACAACAAATGTCAAGAAATATATCTTTCTCCATATGATCACTCAACCCATCATAACTTATTTTTAACTTTTCATATATATGATCATTTGGAATTTTTTGTAGCTTTTCCAAAACACTCTCCCAAGCAGATATTGCTCTATCGAATAAATATGAACCAAGAACTTCAAGAGCCAATGGCAATCCTCTAGAGTAAGCAATTACCCTTTTTGAGAGTTCAACATAATTTTCTATCGGATTGACCTGCTTAAAAGCATGCCAACTAAAAAGTTCAAGGGATTCAAAGTCCTCCAATTCTTTCATATTGTATACTTTATCCACTTGGAGAAGATCAAGTAGATGCTTATCTCTAGTAGTTATGATTATTCTACTTCCCGGAGCAAACCATTCACGACTTCCACATAGAGTACTAATTTGGACCGACTTATCTACATCATCAAGCACAAGAAGTGCCCTTTTATGACAGAGCCTTTCTTTCATCACATTTTTGCCCAATCCATTGTGTTGTAGTCTTGTTATTCTTTCTCTTGAAATTCCTGCAAGAAGTTGTTCTTGTAAATTGATTGGGCCATTGGCTTGCTCCCAAAATTTCCTCACATTTTCTAGGAAAAATTTTCCCTCAAAATTTCTTCCCAATTCATTGAAAATGGCTTTGGCAATAGTTGTTTTGCCAATACCACCCATTCCCCAAATTCCGACCATGATAATTTCATTTGATTTACCACTCAACAATTTGGTAATCTCTTGCATACGAGACTCTACTCCGACTGGGTGATCAGCAATGAATAAGTATGCTTTATCATCTAGTTTCATCATGACACTTTCAACAATATGATTGATCAAAGCTGCATCATTTCTGTAAAAACACACAAGAGTGTAAAAAAGTGAAATTGTAATAGCCCTGAAAAATATAATAAAACCTAACTAATATTTTTATTATAGTGGATTGGTGGCAAAGAAGAGTTTCTGGTTGGGTGGTTTTGAAGGCTTTTGTGTTATAATTATTATTTATTTATTTATTTATTTATTTCAGATTTTTAATGCCAAATTACCAAAATGTCCTTCAATTTGAAAAAAGGAGAAGAGAGGAAGCCAAAAAGGAGAAGAGCAGCATCGTTTTTTTTGAAGGGGTTGATATCAGGAGAGAAAGGAGCAGAGAGAGGGGAGAGGCTTCCAGACTGTCAAACTTGAAACCTCATCTCGTCACCCGTGCTGCCGTCTTCGGTGCGCGTTGTCGTCATCCGTCTGTTCGCCCGCCGTCCTTCCCCTTCTCTCATGAATTCGAGTTGCTGCTGCTTTTCTCACCTTGTTTGGCCTGGCCGTTCCCTTGGTTTGCTTGGTCGACGCCTTCAGCAGATGCAAGGAGGAGAGTTGCTCATTTTGTTTCCTTCTTTCTGGCTGTGATTGTGGTGTGCGATTGAAGCTGGGGGTGTGCCGAACGTGCAAGCCCTTTCTTCCTCCTTTGTTGTTGCTGAATGTTGTGTGGGTGTGGGTAAGATTAATCTTCTCTAGTCTTAAAATTTTGTGACTCTTTCCCCAGCGTGTTTAGGCAATTTGTTTTTTTTTTTTTTAATATATGCGCTGTGACGCAACTGCTCTGTTTATTTTCCTTTCCTTTATGTTTTCAATGTACTAGTAGGAAATTTGGGGATTTTGGTTCCATTGGTGAAAAATCAGACAGCTAGAATGTTTTATCATGTTGGATGATGACTGAAATTGTTTGAGTGAATGCTCATATGTTATGAAGCTTCTTATATGGATATGGGTAATGGACGCTTATCAAATGTTTGTTAAAATGTTTGGATGACCGAAAGCGATGGACGCTTATCAAATGTTTGTTAAAATGTTTGGATGACCGAAAGCGATGAGCAAATAAAATTAACAATTAGCCGACACGGTATTTTTGTTGGATCAATTAAAAAAGAGGGAAAAAAAAACTGGTTAAGTATCATTATACCTTTTCATTGGTATACAAGTTTGGATATGTTTTTGAAATTCCGTTTAACTTTTGGTGAAGGGTTATTTTATTGAGATTAATTTTTCCTGGGCAAGATGATGACAATGATACAAAGGAGTTAATCGTTGCAGAAAAACTTAGATTGGGTGGCTTGGATTTGGAGTCCTTGTGTCTGGCCAAATAGGTGGGTTTATAGAGTTGGTAAAGGAATAAAATATAGTCTAAACCTTTTATTAGATTTATAGCCCAATGTATGATTTTTTTTATTTTTTAATATATACATAGGTGATTTTTCTGAATTTTCATTTGTTGTCCTGTATTCGGTCAAAAAACAATTTGTTGTCCTGTATGTCCATAGTTTTATGTAATTAACTTTCATATTCTATGGAGTTTGTTTGGTTAGTCAAACTGGCTTTAGAGTTAATAAATAGTGCTTGCAAGGGTGAGGAATGCTTAATAGACTCTGTGACTATATTGTTTATAAAAGGGATGAAAGGTCACGTTTTCCCTTTTATTTTAAATTTTTGTAGTTGTCGTTGAGATTAATTGCTGGTAGGCATAAGCCGCAATCTTTATTAGCGACCTGTAATAATTTTTACAATAAAATTCCTATTTTTTGTCACATCAACTACTCAGTTTTCCTAAGCATTATTTTATCAAGGTTATTTTTTTTCAATTTGACCATTCTCATTTTCATTTATTTTATTTTTAAATGTTTTAACTCTTGGAAGAATACGTTCTCTGTTTATATAGAACAAAAGTTCTACTTGAGCATATAAGTATTTTGCATTTTGTTTTAATAAATGTTCATGCTTAGAATTTGAAAGGAAAGTTTTGTACGTTATTTAAAAACCTTCATGCTGGGGTCTCCTTTTATGAATTACGTTTTAAGAGTTTTTGTTATCAGTATTATATATATATGCATGTATTTTAAGTTGCGAGTGGTTAATTGACCCCATGCATGCTTGTAGATGTTTTGTGTGGACTGAATACAGAACACTGGTCGCTAACAGCAAAACTTTTAGCCCGTGGTGTGCTGTGATTAACATTGAGCTTGCCTAGCCACGCTTGGTATTTGTGGTTTTGGCTGTGGTCGTACTGGTTCACTATGATTAACATTGAGCTCGTTTGATATTCGTGGCATTGTTCCTGTGTTTGTATTCGTGGCTTCAACCACGCTTGTTAGTTGCCATCGTGGACTGTGTTCATGCTTGGTGCTTGTTTTGTTAAAGTCCTCAGTAAAACAAAAGGGGTTTCTTTTTATACTATTTGGTGAACTAACTTTGTATGATAAAATTTTTCTTATGTTTTCTTTTATGTTTTACAGGCTTGTTCAAAAATTGGAAGCATCTACAAATTATTTATTTTATAGAATTATATTTACATAATTTATTTTTTCATCAATTGTTTTACTTTATTTTCGTTAATGAGACCTTATTCGCCAGTAGATTATTTTGGTCTGAGATAGTGCAGTTGATCTTGTTACTTTTGATCATCACTAAAGATCCTTACCGCTGGCTTGTAGTTGAAGTGTCGCTTGAAAGGTTCTGAATTTAATGTAAAACCTTAATTCTTGTACATATTTGTGAATCTTGTTTTAGGTGCTTATTGTGGTCTATAGGGAGATGTCTATCCTCTTTTATCATTTTGAATGGATGGATATATCTATGTATTGTTGTAGAGTGGGGCTCCGTATATATTGTGCTATACTTGCAGGCTATTTGTAGAATTTTTGGGGTGTTTGACTAGGAGATTCTGCTGAGACTTCTATTAACGACTTTGCATTTTAACTATAAGAAATCTGATCTTACCTGATTTAAAATTTATACATGCATGCTCAAGATTATTATAATAATCATGATAATATAAATGGTATTTTGATTGTTGTGTCAAGTGTGTAATGCGATGTTTTAAGGTTTGAGGAATGTGAGTTTCACTCCTAAATTTTTGTGGTGTCATAGAAATCATTTGCAAAAGGTCTTTATAAATAACCAAAACAAGTTAATTATTATAACAAGAATATAATATGGGCTTCAAGCAGGGAAATCATCAAAACTCGAAACATAAACAAGGAGATAACAAATTTTTCTAGATTTGTGTGCGTGTAGAGGGGAGGCTAGCCGAAGTTCCAAAGTTTCTATGCTTTGATATAAGTAATTTCAATTTACTACTACCGGTCCAAAATTTAGGAGCTACTGAGCTAGACTACAAAAGGTTCATGTTGATCCCTGTGAGACCTTAATCCATTTTACCTTACAAATTTATAATTTTTTTACTCAAAGTATGCCTATTGCTTGCACATGTTGAAGAGCTTATAGTTATAGAATATCCAATGCACATGATTAAAGAAGGTAATTTAGAAAAACTAAGACACATATGTTACAAATAATTAATTTAGCCAATTTTCTTAATATAAATTAATTATCTAGCTCTTAATATTAAGTACTGAAGTAGTATTGTTTATAGACAGTATTATTATATGCTTACAAAATAGAAAGAATGTGACATTGAATATGATATTGTTAATGGGATGCTATGCAATCATGAAAGGGAAGGGCAAGTAAATTAATGACCAATTTTGAAAGAAGTGGAAGTAGTACTAGAAATGGAGATGGGGAGGGAGTGGACTTCTAGAGAACGATTGATAATACGTCTATGGAAATTAGATATAGTTTTTAGTCAGTGCATGTATTTATATTTTATGAAAAATTTAGAATTCCCTTGCAGTTTCTTTTAAATCCTTCTCTTATAAACTTGAATCACCGTTGACCTCTAGAAGTGTAAATTTTTTTGAGAATCCAAAGTGGTAGACTCAAGTAATAGAAGATTACCTGTAATTGTACGAGTCCCAGCCGGATATGTTGGCAGCTGCAGTGAGCTCTCTTCTCCAAGTTTGTTCTTTTCTAGTTGAGATTCTAGCAATGAGTTCATGAAATGCTTTTCCAAAATTGCCTATTTGTTTTCTTACTTCAAATGCTTGCACATCGTAGAATACAGGCATGATTTGTTGACCGTTATGTCTGTGACACTCCATAATTTTCTCTAGTTCCTCCAAGCACCAACTAGAACTTGCATAATTTGTTGAGAAAACAATAATTGAAATTCTAGAAACTTCAATTGCTTGCAAAAGTGAAGCCGAGATGTTTTTCCCCTTTTTGAGATTGTCGTCCATGAAAACCTCCGAGCCAGCATTTTTCAAAGTAGCATGAAGATGACCAACGAAAGACTTGCGAGTATCTTCACCTCTAAAACTTAAGAAAACATCATTAGCATATTTGGGTTGAGTCTTAGGAGGATTCATTCTTTTTGCCATATCTCGGAAATATTCATGCATTTCAAACTTGTTATTCTTGTCTACCTTTAGAAGGCCTCGAGCAATAAGCACACTTATGTCAACTTCGGCACAAAACCCATACTCATTTAATATTTCTGTCACATGTTGTCTGTCTTTACCAACATAAAAGGAAGCTATCTCAAGGAACACATCTTTCTCAGAGTTTTCTAAGTACTCATAACTTAGTTGAAGTATCTCAAGTATTGCATTGCTCTTTAATCTTGGAAGTTTCTTAATCAAACTTTTCCACTCTCGCAATGTCTTATCAATCAAAAGAGATCCAAGGACTTCAAGAGCTAAGGGTAACTCCCCACAAAAAGTAACAGCTTTCTTGGAGAAAGTTATGAACTCATTTGGAGGATTTAACTGCTTAAATGCATGGCAACTAAAAAGTTCAAGAGATTCATTTTTGTCCATCTTTTTCACTTTAAAGTGATTATCAACTTTAAGTTGATCAAGAATATGCTTATATCTAGTGGTGATCAAGATGACACTCCCTGCTCCAAGCCATTCACGACTTCCACACAACAATGTTATTTGGTCTATTTTGTTGACATCATCAAGTACTATAAGCACCTTTTTCTTATGTAGTACCGTCTTTATCTGTTTGACTCCCATGTCAACGTCATGTATCTTATGTTTTTGATATTTCTGAAACGTTTCAGATACATCAAAAATTAGTTGCTCTTGCAAATAAACTAGACCATCTTCTTTCTCCCCCACATCCTTAATATTTGAAAGGAAACTTCTACCCTCAAACCTGTTAGATATTGCACTGTAAACAGATTTGACAATAGTTGTTTTACCAATTCCTCCCTCCCCCCAAATTCCTATGATTCCTACATTTTCAACAAAGTGACACAATTGAAGCACTTCTTTCACACGGAGCTCTATCCCCACAGGATGGCGTGCGATGAACAATAAGGATGTATTGTCTAGTATTCTCTTGATGGAGTTAATAATAATCGCATTATTGCTGCCAAAAAGAATTAGAATCAGGAAATATTAAAAAGGTAAATTGTATATTGTGCATCATAACAAGTGCATGCGATTTATATCAACTTTATCAAAGAAAAAGTATATGTGCATGATGCTTATAGTACTTTACAAATTCCTAAGACATATAATTGATTTGAAGCATATATGATAAAGACGATAAATCTTGTAGTAGAAGAAATTAATAGATAGCCGTTTCATTCTGCCATGGCGCATCAAAACATTAGTTGAAAAGGTGTTTTTATTTTTTTGGTTTTTTTGTTTTTTAAACCAGAGATGCATGGACTACTATTGCAGAATACAGGTAGCTAAAAATGTCACGGCATTCTGCTAAATATTCCGGTAGCTAACCTCAAGAAATAATGTTAGTCCTTAAAATTTTATTTTCTGAGATATAATCTGAGTGCTTATAATTTGACTTAGTTAAAAAGATTAAGATGTAACTGGCATCTTAAATTAATTTTGAAAATGCATTCAATGCTTTAAAATATTAAGGCTTTATTTGAGATTACGTTTGAAATTATTTATAGGCATGCTTTTATTTTGTATTTTGCAAATTATTATTAAAAAGTTGTTTATGAGTTATTCTAGACAGCCCCTAATTAAGTAGTCTAATTTTAATAATGTATGTATATATTAATAAAAAAACGAGATAATGAAGTCCCAAAAAAATAATTATTAATTTTTTCAATAATAATCTAAGCAGGTTATAATGTCAAATTTCAGAATAAAAAATGAAGACTTATTTTATAATAATTTTTTTGAGACTTTATTCTAATTCTCCCAAGAGCAAGGCTTCCATGCCTATGATCTTGAGAAGTAGATTTTATTTATCTAAAGTCTCACAAAATATTAAAATTACTAGTAGGTCTCAAAGGACCTTAGAGTATTATATTCTAATTGTAAAATGACACTACTATCTCTAGGATTCCCAACTCACGTTTTTTTTACCATTGCGATTGACAACCTCAGCGATGACTATTAACAACCTAATGAGAAGCTGTTGACAACCTAAGCAGTATCTGTTGATAACTTACTTTATAGGATCACATAACATCCACATAACAGTAAATTATAGTCAAATAGTAAATACAATAATTTTAACACTAAAATGGGAAGCTTTCAAAGGCATTAAAAACTTTAACTAAATCCAATAGGATTATAGTAGAATTTTAATGTGGAGATCCATTGACAACCTCAACGATGAGTATTAACAACCCAAGGGGAGTTGTATGTTATACTTTTTAGTTATAATTTGATCTTATGTAGAGGTTATATTATCCTATAAAGTTAGTTGTCAACAGATACTGCCTAGGTTGTTAACAGCTCTCCTTGGGTTGTTAATACTAACCGTTGAGGTTGTCAATGGATCTTCGTATTAAAATTCTGCTATAATCTTATTGGGTTTAGTTAAAGTTCTTAATGCCTTCGAAAAGCTTTCCATTTTAGTGTTAAAGTTGTTGTATTATACTATTTGGTTATAATTTACTCTTATGTGGAGGTTATGTGATCTTATAAAGTAAGTTGTTAGCGGATACTGTTTAGGTTGTCAACAGCTTTTCATTGGATTGTTAATAGTCGCTGTTAAGGTTGTCAATCGCAATTGCAGAGAAAATGTGAATTGGGAATCTGAGGGGTAGTGCTGTTATTTTACAATTAGAATATAATACTCTAAGGTTACTTGGGACCTGCTAGTAATTTTGATATTTTATGGGACTTTGGATGAATAAAATCTACTTCTTAGAACATGTGCATCATTTTCCCATTTAATATCTACAATTTTATCTATTTTATTAAATCAAAGGGGTATGGTGATGACGGATGGTGGAGGAAGAGGAGTGAGAGGAAGGGATGGAAGCCTTTTTTCCCTCCTTAATATATATTACCTCTGATCCTAAATATAAAATTTCGTTTGTAGTACTACAATCGAAGTTTTATATTTAGAATCGGAGGTAGTACTACATACATGCATGTCAAATTTTAAATTATGTATAATTTCTTTAAAGAACAATAAAATACCCATCAGCTCGTCTATGGGTGACATTGCTTCACTTTGAATATTTTAGAGGTACAATTGCATTTATGAATACTTTAAAGCGTTTGGTGCATTTTAACCCTAATTAAAATTTAATTAATACAGTTTAGTCTCTATTATTTCCACCATTTGCATTTATTTTCCAAAATACAAAGATAAGCATTTTAATTTGTTTTACAAAATTAAATAGTTAAAATTGTAGAGATCGAATTTTATCGAATCAAAGAACATGAATTAATGAATTTGAATCAAGTTGAGACTATGAGAATTGAATTAGACCAGATTAAAGTTAGAGTTTAAATTTTAATGGTGTTAAAATTATGAGAACCAAATGATTGCTTTTTATCGAAAAGATGTAGAATAATTTCGTGAGGATAATCGGTCTTAATGTAATTATAAGCTGGAGCCTTTAAAATGAAACTTTAGGGGGGAAGAAAACAAAATTTGCTGTAACTTGAGAAAAATAATTTGAGGAAAATAATGATGCCCTTTTGGACGAACCACTAACACGAAAAAACCAACTAATTGTGGTACGAAAATGATGTTGAAATCTTGATAAATTAGGATAATTTTATATCAAGACAAAATATATGGCCATTGACATTGTAGGAATTCACAAGATATACATACCTGGACCATTCTAGATGTGAGAGTTCCCAACGGGGCAAGGATGTAATTTGGGCGAAGTCTCTTCTCCATCTCATCTGCTCTTTTTGGGTCACGCATGTCCCCTTCACAAGTCCTTCAAAAGCTTCTCCAAATCTTCCACTCTGCTTTCTTACTTCCCACAGATTCACATCATAATAAATTGGCAATACCACCTGACCCTTTCTTCTGTGACACTTCATGATTTTCTGCAGTCTCTTCAGACGCTCTATGGAGTCTCCAAAATCTTTTGTTAGCACTATGAGCGAGGTTCTAGACTCCTCGATGGCTCTCAGTATTGCTGGCTTGATCTCTTTTTTATCATCATCGTCGATGAATGTCTTGATTTCAGCATCCCTGAGAGAGGATTTGAGAGACCTAATTACGAAACAGTCGATAGATGAACTGAAGAACACGTCATAGTTCCATTTAGGTTCTGAAGATGAAGGTTGGAAATCTGAAAACGAAGACATTGGTGGCAAGAAGAGAGGATATATGGTAATCAAATCTCTGCTAATGGATTGATTAGCTTCATCAATTCCTACTATGAGGAGACCAAAAGATTTGATTACGCGGTCTTAATTCGGAATTGGATTCTCTCCAAGGTAGTGGAGAGAATCCAATTCCGGGGTGTTTGGCAATTTTTTTTTAAAAAAGTACTTTTTAAACCCAAACCATAGTTTGAATCAGATAATTGTTAAACACCTGATTTTTTCAGCAAACCAGGTGTGGGTCAAAGCCAAAATTTTGGAGCTCCAAACCTAGATTTCAAAATAAGCAGAATATTTTCGTTTTGGTTAGAAATTTTGGATCGTTGGTGTAATCATTATATTCTATCAGAAAACATCCAACGGTGTATGACAAAAAACGCCCTTATATTCAATCACAAGCTTCGCCTCTTCTTCTTTGAAAATTCATTCTGCCTTCGCTCCTTCTCCTTCTGAAACAAAAAACACCCTCATATTAATTATTTATGAATTACATTTTTTATATATTATTTATTATGTTGACAAAAAATATATTATTAACAAATTTATTAGTTCAAATAAAAATATCTTATAAAATCTATCTTTTATATAATTATCATATTAACTTATGTTCTTTTCAGTAATTTGTATATATAAAAAGTGCTTCTAATAACAACTATCCAATCACTCTCACTTTATCAGAATCACTTTTTTACAAAATCTATTCCTCCAAAATTTGTTTTAAAAAATAATTTTTTCTTCAAAAACTATTCTCCAAACTATGGTTTGGTTTTATCTAAATACTCTCTTTGAAAAACATAAGGGTGCACCACTGTCATAAACCTTTTCATTAGGGTCAGATTGCTTTCAAACGTTTATAAAAATACTTACATACTTACAAATTACACATCAATTAAAAAGGAGTTTGGTCCCAAATTTAATGCAAGTCAATTGTAGGATTATCAATGTCCTTTCAATCGGAAAAACATATACAGTTCCTTAGACGCGATCAATAGGCGTTTTTGCAATACAAAGATTTGCTTATTGATAATGTTTTTGCCCTCCTCCGCTCATCTCCATTTATATATACTTTCTTGTCTTTTGGTCCTGAAGGAAAAGATTCAGTGTGAACAATGAATAATAAAACAATTGTGGGCAGAACACACGCCTTTAATCCTTCGTATCGCAGAGGATTCAGTTTGGGTGATGAACACCACTGTCCATATTAAAATTATTGGAGGGTTGGAATTTAACAAAACTTTACTTTTAATTAAGGTTAATATTATATTTAGTCCCTGAAACTTGATCTCATTTTGGTTTTGATTCCTGAAATTTAAAATCAATGGTTTTGGAAATGGAGCAAAAATCTTTAGCTGGATGAAAACAAAGTCAAATTTTGGAGATAAAAACTAAAATGGGATCAAATTTTAAAAATTAAAAATGACATGTACTCTTATTCTTATATTTTTAATAGTTTTAATATTTTAATGTATACAGAATTTAAAATAAATATTATATTTTAACTGTCATTTTTTTAAAAAAATAATTTTTAATAAATAGTACAGAAGAAATTTTTTAATAAATATGTAAAACAAAAGGTATTTATTTTTTGATAAATTAAAATTAAAAAATTATTTTTATAAAAAGTACAAAGACTAGAAATTATATTTTTATTATTTAATTGAGCCTTTAAATTATTAAATATTTAACATTTAATTAAGCCATACATATTCGCACTGTGGGCTAAAAGCAAGTGAAAAAGAAAAGGAATGAACTTGTTAAAAAAAAAACAAGAAGAAGAAAAGGAATGAGCTTCTCACTGATTCCGCCAGGCGCATGGTGCTTTTTGCCTTTTGACACAGTACAAAACTTACATGAAGCTCTTATATTTATTACATCAAGTTTACAGATCAACTTAATTATAAATGCACATACACGTTTTAACAATAAAAAAATAGCAAAATAAATAGTATTCAAATTAAAATTTAAGAATATTATAATTTACATTATTAGAGTTGATACAAAAATTTACAGCTGATTATATATTGAATGTACAAGTCAATATATGCATTTTAATAACTACAATAATAAAATAATACGGGTGACTGAAAAACTGGAGCTAATGAATATAAGTGACATAACCTAAATTGTGTTTTTATGATATGGTGGGCGTGGAAAATGATTCAGCAGGTTATGCTTTGTGGCTTTTGCTTTAGATTGCTTTAGTCAACAAATTTACTTTCCAAGGTGCTGAAATATTTTTTTGCTAAAAAAAAGTGCTGAAACATTTTGCTTCTAAAATTCTTAATATTCGGAACACGAGAAAGTGGCCTGGCGATAAGTTATTTAATTAAAAGTAAGGTTTGCTATTTCTTGGGTTGAGATGCAATTTTAGCAACCCAAGGGGTACTAGACACCATAAAATTTACTTTGTGCAAAAAATACACGTGAAGTTGTCAAAAAGATGTATATGGCATCATACCGTTAACATCCATTAGTTTACTATATTAGTGGGCCACATATTTATTTTAAGGTGTATTTTTAACAACGAAGTTTACGTCAAGGGACGCTGGGCATCATAAAATTTACTTGGATGTAAAAATATACGTGAACTTTCTAAAAGGAGAACAATAACAAAATTCATCAAATTTCATAAATATCATTAAAGTTATTTTTTTAGGTCTTACCAAATGTCATGTTTTCTCTCATTTATTCCCACCTTCTCTTCTCTTTAGTATAATGGACTAATTTGGAAAAAAAAAATTAAAGAAGTGAAATAATTACTTAATTATAGTATATATTATATGATCTTTCTAAAATATTTATATGCATCACCAGATCATATCTTAGTTTATAAGCCAAACAAATTAATTTGGAGAAAAATGATAAATGTAGTACTTTAAAGTAATTTATTTAATTTATTTAATCTCCTCAAATTACTCAATTGTGTCCTATATTAAAGATTGGAGGTAATATTTGGATGCATGCAATCCACCTCGTATCCTAGGAACTTTGATTCTAAAACAACTTTGATCCTCAAATAGTTCCAAAAGCTTTCCAAGTGGCTTAATATAATTATTCTTAATGCCAAAATATGCCTTGCTAAAGTAACAAAGTTTATAAGCTCAAAAATAACAAGGATAAAAATCAAAAGATGAACAATTACATCTAAGAATACATAAAACTCAAGGAAAAACTGCTGAAATGACATGAAATTCTAGTGATTAACACCATGCATACTGAAATTCTTTTACTGCATTAATTGCCTAACGTCCGTTCTCCACAACCAAAAGTTTTCGTAACAATTGAACAAAACACTGTTCTTTACCGTTAATTATCTTGCACAACTTAAATTTTGGTTGAGTTAGATTGCTAGTTTTAGTGCCAATCGGGCAGAAGTTGAGGAGCAAACGGAGTACATACCTCCTCTTTCCATGATTTGGCAATTCCTGACAATGCTTTAATTTGGATCCAGGTGATAGGGCTTTTTAAAGTAATGTCACGGGAAACACTATTTAGATGGAGCAAATTAATATTGAATGCTGAATTGAAGGTTCGATATTCTCGATCGGTGGCAAAGCAACTAATTCAAGTGGCCTTGCTATATATGCACACAAAACTCGGCCATGAGAAAACCAAAGATGTCTGAGGTGGTAAGGATGCTTGAAGAAGGTGATAGCTTGGCTGAAAATTGGAATCAATGGCCGAAAGACAATACGTTTCCGTCAGATAGTGGAATCCTTGCTAATTTGGCGGATCAAAAATTGTGGACTCACATACCCAGTTGCTCCCAGATGAACTATCAGGTCCCAGATGATCTTCTCAACCTTAAAATATACTTCTCGGAATTTGAAAGTGATGCTACTCAAGAACGTTAGGGCATATAATGATTCTCTTCCTTTTGGATTATGCTGTATGTCCCATAAAATCCCCCACTGATCATGTTCTGATTGTTGCAATGAATGTATAATTGGGAGTCTAGTCCAAAAAGGGACCATCACTTGTGTTGTACGTTGGATTATATGTATGAACAACACTAACATGCCTCGTGCCATCATGCCAGCTTTAACTTAATAAAAACTCAACTTAATACTTCTGAATTTTAAGTCAATTCAACTTAGTTATTATAATTTTATTTGTTCAACGAACTAGTCTCTGACATTTTAAAACCAATTTTAATTGTTTATCATTTTATTTTCTAAAACGTAATACTAACATTTTCAAACATTTATTTGGACGGTTGAACAATCATTCATGTCTTTCTGAAGCGAGAAGAATAAAAATTCGTAAAAAAAAAATTAAAAGCAGCGGACATAATGATCAATCAAACCAGGAAAATAGGGATATCTGGGCCAAAAAAAAGCGTAGATAGAGCGGAAAGTTTCCAGCTGCGAATTGCTGGTGGGTTGGTGAAAGAGAGACGATGAAACTTTATCAATAAAAATCCGAGAAGATTTACTAACAAATCTTTGGTAAATAGATGGGTCCTTCAAATCAACACGATGTCTGGATTTCAACTAGGCCGTTTGTATGGGAAAAAATATTGTTAAGAGCTTAGATTTTTTAGGCTTTTGCTACTTGTGTAGTCATCAATGAGGGTAATGAAAGATTTTAAGTAGTAAGAAAATATCAAGTTGTTATTTAATTGACTTATAAGGTACAGGCGCACATAATAATTAGTTATGAAATAAAATACATTATCGACATTTAAAAACATTAGAGGTGTAATTTTGATTTCATAAGTACCATTATCTGTTTAATAATGATACTAAGGAAATCTAAAACTGGTTTACTAATTGAATGGTGACTCCTTTATTAATGAGAGTATGAAATGAAAATTTTAATAAATGCGTAAAACAGAGGATATTTATTTCTCATAAATGAGATTAAAAAAAATCTAATTTGTTTTTAGAAAATCACAAAAGGAAAGTGCATTTTTATCATTTAATTGAACCCTTGCAAAATTCAAAAAATGTCCCTTGCATCGTGAAGTTGAACTGCCCTTA